TCGAATAATAGCTAGCTAGCATAAATTACTAAATAAAATTATTTTAAATCGAAATAAGCTTTTTATATTAAAATTCTAGAAATCACTTATTAATTAGCTAAAATGCGATTATAAGCTCTCGACGGCTTTTTACCCGTAAATTAACGGATAAATAGAACGAATTAATTAAATATTTAAAAAATACCTTAAATATTACGTTAATTACGAATAAAACAATTAGGTTATATTATTGCTATTCGCGTAATTTGCATATAATAATATAATACGAAAACCTATTAAAATATTACTATTTTACGCTAATTACGGGTACGAACCCGATATTACTAAAAAACCACTAAAAGGAAAAGAATTTGTATTATACGCTATTTTACGCGTCGAATAATTTAAAAACCTATAAATAGAATTTTAAAAAACCTTTATCGCCATTTAACAAAAAACAAAAACCCGATACGATAAAAAAAAATTAAAAGACTAATTTTTAAAAAAGGAAATAAAGTTTACCTTTTATATAAAAATATTAAAATAAAACGACTAAACGATAAATTTAATTTTAAAAAACTCGGACTATTTAAAATTAATAAAAAAATTTCAAATATTAATTACCGATTTAAGCTATTAAAAATTATAAAAAATTATAAAACCTTTTATATTTTATTATTCGAATTAGCACTAAAAAACGCTAAAGTTAATAAAATATTAAAAACCGAACTAAATTAGCAAAGCTACGACGTCGAAAAAATTATTAACTATAAAAAAATCGGACAAAGATACCAGTTTTACGTTAAATAGGAAAATTATTTACCTAAAAAAAACACTTAAGAACCTAGGAAATATATTAAGAGCTGCGACGCTTTTAATTAATATCTTTAATTTTATTAAAAAAACTAGGATTTATAAAACCACTTTCGAAATTGGAACTCCCGAGCTTAATAAAAAGGTTAGAATTAAAAAAATTACCTCCGAAATTAATAAAAGCCTAATTAATAATATCGAAGCCCGGCACGGAAAAAGCTAAAATAAAAGCTTCCGCTTTAAAGCGCTTTTGCTTTTTTAGTTTTTTAAAGGATTTAAGGCCGCGCTATACTAATTTTATATTATTTGTACGCGCTATTTTTTTTAGCTTCCGAAAACGGATTAAATAAGCGACGGCCTTGTTTATCTCCTTTTAATAACGATATTATAACTTTAAAAAACGTTTTTTTATAATAATTTTTTCGCGAAAGAGCTTTTAATACTCCGCCCGCAAACGCTAAAGGGACGAAAAAGGAACCTTTTAATTATTATAATAATAATTTAAACGGAAGTATTGCTTATATTTTATTACCTTTTTTATTATTATATATTTTTCGTTTGTGTCGAAATAAATAGGATACGGTATAATTTTGAAACTAAAATCGGAAAAAAATTCTAATAAATCGTAATAATAAATAATCGAAGGAGCCGGAATAAAATAAATTTTTTTATTTATTAACCGTTTTTAAATACGGTTAAATATAATAACTATGTATTATAAATTATAAAAAAAAGGGAAAAAGGCTATTATAAAGGAATAAGACGAAAGGACCTATTTATATAGCCTAAGGATTTTTTAGGGATAAAAAATATAGAAAAGGGAGCTGATATTACGAATATATATTTTTATAGGATAATTAAAGAAGGATAAATACGGCTAGGAAAAGCGACTAAAGGCAAAAAAATAAAATTAACCTACTAAAAGTTATATAACGACGTTACGTATATTAGGATTAGCTGCTTAATTATGCTTAGTTAAAATTAATTAAGCAAGGGTTAGTAATATAAAATAATATAATCGGGGCTAATATTAATAAGGAAATAAATAAATATATATTATAAAAAGATTTTTTATATATATAATTATTACCTTAATAATTAATCTAAATATTTATTTTATTTATAAATAAAGCATTTAATACGCTTTAACGATTATATTTATAATATTAAATTAAAACCACCTTTAGTTATTTTTTGCTTAATTTAATATTTTGCCTAACGTTCCCTATTAGCATAAACCCTAATACCCCTATACCCAGGTTTATTCTAGAAACCCGTAGTATAGTCGTAATAGCAGAATATCCATAAGTTGCGTAGCACGTGGCTGGGGCAATATGGGTAGGGGTGGTGCCGGGGTTCTTAGGCAGGCATAAACTACAAACAATCCAACATCAGTTATACGGCAACTGCAATGGTAAAATTAGCAACGCGCCATCTTATTGAACCATGAAGCGGAAGGGGGGATATGGGAAGCGCTGGGAAAGCGCGGCCTCCGGGCTATTGTTTACCTACGTTAGACTTTAGTGTCCAGCTGGGAGGGAGAACGGCGTCCTGACATAACTCTTCTCAACTCAATTGACTGTTTTATCATATCTTCTTTGGTGAACTTCCTTGGCCTTTCCCGGCTTATCTACTTGATTCCCAACTTCAATCACATCCACGGCCCAAAGGCCAACGTTTGTACCATATCTTAGGTAGGTACCTAGCCACTACGGCGTACGCTCTTCTCCTTTCTCTCTTACCATAACAATCAATTGACCTGACCAGACCTACCACTAGGCCCTCGGACATTTCAACATTTGGCTTCTCTTTTACGCCTTATAGTCTCTTCTAGGCCACTCCAAGGGCCCCTGATAATTTATCTGCACCCTTCTCCTTCCTCGTTTCCTACTCCCAGTCTACAATCATGGACCAAGCTCATGTCGAGAGATTCGTCGAGATGCCTACGCCGCCGAACCCCTCCGGAGAGCCATGGAACCTCCAAATCACACCTTTTACATCCATTCTGGCATCCAGAAACGCGACATGATGGGCCTCGTTACCAACAATAGACACAAAGCGACCGCGCCTGTAGACCATGACACAATCACCGTATACGTGGCCATGGCTATTGTGGGCCTGCTTATCGTCCTCGGCATATGTATCGGCATCATCTTCTAGCTGGTCTCCTTTAACACCTGACACAAAGGCTCACTTTAAGCCTTCGACACCCAAAAGCTGCTCAGTCTATAGAAAGATACCGCGTATAACACGAAGATCCTGGAATCTATCCAGGCATTGTGTAATAATCACTGGAACGATAGAGTGATGGCACCGGTAAATTGAGAAAACAACCGAAGCCTGCCGTTGGAACTACCTGTACGGCGATCCAACGGTCCTTACATACAAATTTGTATGCCCCCACGTGAAAACTCCAGGCAATCCTACAGCGCTCTAATATATTGGAAGATAAATCGTATAGGAAAATACGCCGCCTTGCATATCACCCAATTTAGGAGACGTCTTCCAGTCAGCTCGGGTATTTGAAAGACTGAGCGCTTATTGAGATAGACCCCGAAAAGTTTATTTACGGTCTAGAGAATAAGGTGTTTATTTGCGGCGGCGACGAATATTGCAACGAATTCCGTACGGCTATGCGTCACGCCAAATCCAAAAGGAATACTGCAAATATGGACGCTTGCACAGAAGGGGTTCTCGATCTCCGGCTACCGGAACCAGGCGAGGAAGTCAGGAAGCCCACTCGAAGATGCTCCGACGGGACCAAAGGATCTAACATCCCTTGGAAAGAAGAGGTGGTTGTCAAAATGTAGGAATAAGTGGAGCGCTTCCCCATACATGTATATATTTTTGACCATCCAACCTCTGTTGGATGTGAACAACTCATCTAATATAACAACTATTACCCATACCTATCATATTTTTTCACAGTGGTTCCCTTCCACAACTTGCGCAAGGGAAAGGTCAGAACTGTCAAACACCAGGATCAGGAATAGGTTCAGTTAAACCGTAGTGGAATTGTGGCCGGTGAAAACTAAGTAATTCCCGACGTTGCATGTTTTGTTGCTTTCTGTTTTTTTTTTTTTTCAAGTGAAAATAAAAAAAGAGAGAAAGAAAGGAAAGATAATAGGACAAGAAGAAAACTCTCTTTACTAGTCATTGTGTTCTGAGATAATGAAATAAGTTGGAAAGTTGATGGATCAGGAATACTGGACCCCTTTGATCTCAACTAGTGTTGGCAGTACTGATTAGCGACTCCCTTATCCTCCTCAGCTTGTTGTCAGCCACTTAGGGGTCTCCAAATGTCACATGCAAGTCGTCATTCCGCATTCATTGCCTTGTACTTTGTGTAGGGATCATCAATTGCACAATTTTCAAGGCTGTGTTCCTATCATCCGACACACTGTAACAAGTCATTGCTCACCGAGCGCGATATTCAAAGCGTGACCTGTCTTGGTAACGCAAGAATTCCGGCAGACGAATGCAATGCGACATGGAATCGGATAGGATAGCCATCGTTGGATCAATCTCACAGCCTGATTGGTTGATCCAGATGCATCATAACGCACAAGTAGCTTCCTACCTACCTAGGCAAGCTAGGCTCGACCAAGCCAAGCCTGGGCTCAACGCTCAACCCAGGTGATGAGCCTGTGTTCGGATGTCAACCCTATTCTGGACCAAAAGCTATTTTTGGCGGGCTGTCATTATGGGGCCTGTCGAATATGATTGGTGCAATCCACTAATCAATATTCCTTTGTCTTAGGTGGGGGCCGGCCGGTATTGATCATCTTGGCCTAGGTAGGTGACATTCAAGGAACGTAGGGCTGAATACACGCTGCAGATACGGATCCAACTCCCCCTTGGCATATTCAAGTGCACCTAGGTCTCAAGCTCTGATTGGCCAAAGGATCTTAATCCTCATATTGCGAATCACTAATATATGCACGGCCCCCATGTCGTGGCTCATGGCCAAAGCAATGCTATAATCGCGACCAATCGTATCAAAAGCCGAAGACTCCAAAACGTCGCCAGATGAGTGGCTTTTGGCTTCCCTCAGAATCGCGAATAAAAAGTGTGGAATGCTAAATACTGTGTTGACGAGTGTAGTTATCTAATATATTAGGAGTTCTACCCTATGGTATTTCAGGCGTAACAAGTCTTTTTCTAACTCAAGTCCACAAACGCAGCATTGCACCGCTGTCTTGTTTGACATGTTTGAGGATAATTCTTTGTCAGTCTTTGATTATGGTTTTGGTCGTGCAGCAAGCAGTATTGCGAGCACTACTGAATCAGATGCCAAAGTCTGTGATCCATCTGATCAAGGATCATGGTCGAGGTGGTGGCACTTCTTACTGCTGCCAATAGCGTTTACTCTGCCAATGGTTATCTACATATGCGTCTTCTATAATAGACAATCGTGGAAATGGAAAGCACCGTCGCCAGAAGAGTATCACTCCTATGATACCTGCAACGTTCAAGATGGTAGCGCCCTGGAGAGATGGGTTGCGATTGATATCACGTACGGCAATTATGGCTTCGCCACAGTCAAAGTCATTGATTTGGCATGGGATACCCTCATTGCGCAGGCCGGTCGCGCCTTTCACGTGTATATCCTTTACCAGCATGTTGCCAGGAGAGTCCTCACATGCTTTATGGAATGTTCGAGCGTAACATATGAAAATTACATCTCGGTCATCTTCTCCCGGTCTTGGCTCGGAACCCTCAAATTTTTTCTAGGGAGATTTTCTCGGCAGAACAAGATACCCGTCTCATTGTCAATCTTCGGACTCGCTTACATGATTGTTTACACGTTTTTCTTTTCGACAGTCTGGAGCGCCGCAACAGGATACATTAGTCCTTCGGAAAGGGCATATCAAATGCCCGACAGCACCTACCTCCCCCTGAATTCGCCACATCTCGCGCTCTGTTGGATGATCGATAGTGGGCGATTGGGTCTGGAACAAGGCCACGTGGAACTTGGGCCAGACTTTTCCATGCTGGAACCTTGGCTATACAAGTCATCCCAGGAAGGTCGCTGGTCCGAGCTAGGGATCCTGGAAAAGTCGGCATCCGAAACTCCAAAATACGGGCAATATCAACAGAGTCGCGTGAAGAGAAGTACTACTCAAGCCGGATACGAGAAGAAAAATCCGGATGCGTACGAAGATGAAAAGGCTTTCAGAGGCTGGTACCGCACGATTTGGGACAACATTGGCCCCTCGGGAATGGGACTTGACAGTCCACAGTCCGATATATCGAAAGAAATATTTAGCTGTGAGCCCAATCTGATCATATCATACCTGTCCCTACTAATTACATTTTGTAGATGCATTCACTACCAGGATGTTTCAAGTGGTATTCAATGCAACTGGACTCAACATTACCGGCTACGATACACCAATCAATCTCAACACGACAGATGCAACGGCGGTGATTGATCTGATGGAAGAGAGCTACAGTGTCGTTGATGTGACGCGAGAGAATCAGCTTCCAGAATCATTGGAGTTCAACCAGTTTCATTATGTGGATTGGGCAAACCACAGCCAAGACAATCTTCATGACATCAAACTATTCAACACCTGGCCCATGTATGCAACTCCTGATTCATACGTCATCAATGACACCATACGACCGAGCGGAGTGATACCCTACAACTCGACCTTTACATTCAATGGGACCGAATATTCTCTGGAAGCTCCATTTCTGGACATTGGACATGGCTGTTCGCATCCCTACAACTACTTTACCGCTCTTGGAAATTGCGTGTGCTACAATGGAGAGCCAATCACATACGCTTGGTACAGCGACGACAATGTGGTTTGTCTGGATTCGCCCCGTTATGTATGGGGCTTCTCCTCGTTCATTGTCTTCATCGCCGCCATTCTGGAGCTGGTCTGGGTCATCTTTGCCATAATGATCCGGGGGTATTGCCAATGGTGGAGTGAGTTGATGAAATATCCCCGAGTCAAACGCGCTGGGCTTGTTTGGGCAATCTTGGAGATTTCTGAAGCTATGAAGAGAGACCTTGATGATGAAGGTGGCATGACTCACGAGAGAATCTTGAGGCAAAATCTATCGAACCAAGACAATATTGGATATGCTACGCACGTGGACGAGCATGGGATTGTGCAGGGCGTTCAAATCGTGAGCCGAAGTCAACGTACCAACACTGTAATAAATCCACTTGATAAGGACAGTATGCTGGAGAAGGGCCAAGGGAAATCATAATGCACTATCGTACTCTCCAGACTAATCACTGCATTGGGATGGCGCAACACCATCACCTGTACTTACAGCTGGCCATCTCCCACCCATTATTAGATAGTGGATTACTTAAGCAATTTCCTGATGCCACAACACGTTGGATTGGCAGTTTAGTCAATACAAATACCCCTTAGATGCGGCAAAGTCCCATCATAAGGGTAGGTTTGCATCCTGACAATAATCACCATGCTTATCATTTGATCCGAAATTCCTGGTAGCTATACTCCCCATTCTGTGTCTGCCTAATGACTTCACCATCCATAATACCATGCACATAACTATTAAACAAGGTCAGTCATCAAACGACAAATTCAGAGAGCAAGGAATCATTACTGACCATTCTCCTACATAAGACCAGGTATTATTCAAGGATCTGCGTAGGACATATGGCACCGATCCTCCCAACAGGATACAGATTTTGTCATTCTGCTCAAGCCAAGGGGGGCCCATTCCAATATAGCCTTTTTCGGAAACGAAAAAGCGCCTATTGAATTGCTCAATGAGGCGGAGTTGCATGCCCAGCCTGCAAAAGCTTGCCCAGTACGACAGCAACTGATGGTGAGACTCGTCCGAGTCTAGATTTGACAGAGAGTAATAATCCCCCTCATCCATGCGAATCGGCTTCCCCGGGTCAAAGTTCGCATGTAGAGAACCTTGCTTCAAATCGACCAGTACACACCTCCAAAACGCCTGGGCAGATGACTCATCAGCATTGAGGTAGTTCGTCGTTTGAGGCATGTGACCGCGCCACTCGTGTAGCACCACCTCCATTAGCTTGATCCATACACTGGGATCGTCGGTCAGTATCTTTCCCGGCGCCTGGCTAGCTATTGTCGTGACAGTATCAACCTCGACACCTGAGACTACTAGAACCGACTCGTCATCGTTTGTGCTCATGGTATACGAATCCCACGAACTAGACAGACTCGCGTTATAAACGGAGCGATTAAATATCGCTTTGGAGAGCGAAGCGATATAGTCGCTGTTTGGTTTAGAGTGAAGTTGTAAATCCGGTAGCCATGTGGGTAGACGAGCATCTCTAAGATGATACTCCTCACTGATGAAGCCAAGGAACGATAGACTTTTATCCTCGGTAGCTGCAGCAATAAAAGCCTGCTGATACACTTTAGCGGTTGTCGAAGAATAATCCGGCATTATTTGGTTCCCAGAGCCAATCAGGCCCAACAATCCAATGACCTTGTCTTTTGGATCAGAAGCATCTCGGTTCCATGACGAGTCCAGTGCCAGTAGCCATTTGATGTGGCCTCTTTCGGTGATATGGTCTCTCAAGTCGGCGATGCGCCATACTTCTCGAACTGCTACATGTTGATCGACAGGGCCTCCTGGCCAGGAGCCAAAGCTCATGGAGAAGAAGATGAAATATGCCAAATCGTAGAAGCAATACAGAGGCACCGCCCTCTTGCCACAATGGACCGTGACTTCATGACAGAGAACACTCTCTTGGAGAGTCCATATCCTAGTCCACCAGCGCCGACTTAGCAACCGAACTGCCTCATCAAGGCCTTGGATGTTTTCAGAATTGTTAAACAGAGACAACACGGACTTGTAGTAATTTTGAAACTCGGCGATAGACATGGTTCCCTTGGCAGAACCGTGCTCCAAGGTTGAGCCGACCTTGACCCTGCTACCATGACGGGACTCGAGTAATTTGGTGCTAATCGTCTGCACCATCTCTAATCCTAGATCCGAGAAAGCGGTCGCTGCCCCTAACCAGACAACGACGGACTTTGCCCTCGAGTAAATGGCCTTCATTTGCGAAACCTGGTTATTTCGCTCGAGTATGTCGGCCTGGTTGATGCATATAGCGTCTACCCAGATGGTGTAGGCCACGCTTGCAGGATGGAGTGCAGTCAGAGCCTCAACTAGGTTCCTCTGTGCCAGACACCGAGTCCCGTCGATTAGTAATGGGAGAACATCTTTCTCGTCACCCCAGGTGTAAGAGAGGGCTTGATATTCCCGAAGTTCCTCAAAGTTGTGGTGTTCAAGGCGACAGGTAACAAGCTGATTGGCTGCTATGCAAGGTTCAACGATCAAAAGTCGAATTGAGCCTTTTTCAGGCAATGGTCGATAAGATATCTTTTCCATGGGACAATGCAATTACTTTATGCGTCACAGAGCTCTCGTTGTACCCTGGAATATGGGTAGTATTATCATGAATACTCGGAACTACTGCAGTAATGCGAGAAGTATGCATTTTTACATGACAATATGAGGCCACTTCCTTGATGACGTGGCGCTTACAGGATGGAGGTACAAGCGGCCGCCCATTGAATCGTTCTCCGGGGTCTGCGATTCGATAAGTGGACCAGCACATTGGTAGTTGCACCTTGCCTTGCTATTGGTCGCTGCAGTACAAGGGCTGCGAGGATAATAATTTTCGTTGTGTACGCTGGATTAGTACTAGGTATTCAGGTGGGTGATCACTGGGGAATCGCCGATGTTTGCATTTTGTTTTGTTTTTTTTTTATCTCACTTGCTTCTGATCCGTCAATCTTTACTGCAACAGAAAGACGTACTAAGAGCCAGAAGAGTGATGACCAGGATGCATTAGCTGGCTACCCGGGTATATCTCGTCCAATGGATATGCAAGTCCCTTTGTTCCGCGATGAGAAGTTGCCGCCTCATTTATGAACACATTTCTTCGAGCCTTTAAAATAAGGTGCTGTATGCTAGACGTTGACGGATATATTTGTCTATCAGTCTGGTTTCTACGTTCCCTTGCGGCTTGTTCGTAGCGAGCCCAAACTATGGAAGCCAGAACTGGGCAGATCAAGGCAAGGAGTAAGGCTATATCTGAATGTTCTCACCGTGAACTAGGCGTTTTCCACTAATTGGGCCTTTGTAGCACCTTCCTTTGCATTGATTCCTGAAGGGATTACCACGTCTTCATGTCCTACAACTGGCTACATCGCGTATTAGATTATGAAGCAGAGGGTGGGAGCCGGAGTGAGCACACTTACTCGCGTTGATTGTGTTTTCACGATATATTTTAACGAGTCGGCAGCGATTCGTTCCCACTCAGATCTAGGACGACTAGTAGTGCCAGGGGGCTCTTTCGCCCACGTTCGCTGGATCGAAGCTGATCTGCCCGCCCTCGCCCATGTGGACCCTCGCAGCAGCACGCCAAGCCTCCTCGGCTTCGGCCGTCAATGGGAGAGCTGGGGTGCTATCAGACCAGTACTCGGCGCATGCCCTTCCATCAGAGACGCTGTACCTGACGTTGTATCCAAAGCTGCATGACATCATCATTTCCCACGCAACGGTCATGTCTTTCAACCTTGGCATGCGGGTGGCCGCACGCGCCGCCGCCAAACATATTTCACCAAAGTATTCGTGGTCTAGAAGTACCCTGAAATGATACGATGGATCGTCAACAGTGAGGACCTCTGGGCTATTGGCAACATGTGGAGGCGATGGTGGTCGAGGTCGAGGTCGAGGTGCTGAAGGATGTTTATGAAAAAGCCAGGCCCCCAACGGAGAAATCTTGCTACTCGAAATACGGACCTCCTCGAGGCGTGGCCAGTACGGAGTCTCATCCAGGCTTAATGGCAGTTGCTGTGGCCAGAAAAGGTTGGTGTCAAACACGACGGTTCCTTCTAGCTTGAATGTGGTGCAATGCTGTGCAATACCACGTAAGGCGATGCTGAGAGGGTCGTCGACATGGGCGCGCGGCGGCTGGATGTCGTGACCCATGAGTTCAGCCCAGGGGTAAAAGAGGCTGAAGTGATGGACACTCTGTGGAAAGCTCGCAAGTGATGCTGCGAAATCTTGCCGCATCTTCTGGCGAAGAGGGATATATTCCTCCTGGATGTACATGATTCTCCAGTGCACAGCCTCCAGGTTGGTCAGCTTGGATGCAATGATGCCATATACGCTTGCTGCAATGTATCGAGGGATGTTTCGATTCTTATGGAGGATTGAACGCTTGTAACCACACGAAAAATGTTCTTTGAACTGCGTGATCATCCCCAAGGCTGGGAGGTCGTCTTCCACGCCACTTTCCAGCGATAGATCCGAATATTTCCAGCGCTCGATCCGATCTTCGCGTCTACCGCCACTGCCATATCTGTCAGAGGGGGAGGAGGCACAGAGTTGCAATATGACGCCTGGCCGGCCAGTGCCTGTCACTATGGGTTCCCAAAGGCTCAGGCAATCAAACAGTCCCACGATTGCCCGAGTGAAAGCCTGATTGTTCTGCTGCTGCTCCTCATCTGTCTCACGGCGTCCGCGGAGCTCTGGCTCGTCGTACTCGGGCAGCAAGGCTTCCATGCATATGTGACGCACGTAGGTTTGTCGAGCCGGCGTCAAGATGTCTTTGGCTTTCGAGAGGCGATCCGTGTCAAGCCTCAGTGACGCAAAAGTCTGTCTCTCGACATGTGGCTGCCACCGGCGTGAGACGGTCGCACACACAACGGCTGCTTCAGAACCAGGCTCGATGGCCATTTGGATGATTGGCAGCAGAATCTCTACTGGCAGAGAATGAATCGAAGTCATTTTGTAGGGAATGCGCCACGACCCGTGGCATGAGGGAACCCCGCACTACGATGCACGCACAATCCTTGATAGAGTACCTCGAATATGAGCTCTGTAATTCTTCGGATGTGCCGCTTCATTGACAATGGCTGGCAAGGCGTCACAGTCTTAGCCGTTCAGGGTCCCGGTCCTGGCTAGTTCAGGAACTTCAGAGCAGCGACATCAGATGGCTTGATGAATCCCAAGTAGATATGTATGAATCGTGCCTTTGCAGATGGCGCCCCGCAGGTTGGAGGATGTCGCTGATCGTCAGTTGACCAGTACATAAAGTACCTGCCGTAGCGGAAACCTCCATTTCTAAACAATGCTTGTTGGTTCTGGGACCAACAACCAACAAGCATTGTAGTCCGATAAGCATAATTGGTCGGACAATCATTGTTGATTTCCAGCCGCTGCCAGCTGCGGGCTCACACATGTTGGACTTTTGCACCAGCTGTCAGAAGACTTGGCATCGCGACTTCTAAAGCGCAATTCTTGGCTCCAATTGCTTCTCGTCTTGAGATAATCTGCAACACAACACCATCGGTAGTTTGCATCTGCTAGTTATGCCGGCTTGCGACAGGTGTAGCAACATCAAGGCGAAATGCGTCCGCGACGCTTCTCAGGACAAATGTGAACGGTGTCGCCGTCTTCTCCTCAGTTGCACATTTCTCAAGCCGGCGAAACCGCGAGGCCGAAGAAGTCACAAATCTCGAACGGGGACCGCGGGTGAACTGGTCTGGGTTCAGAACAACACGCTGCCCGTCATGCGCAACGCCCTGGAGGGCCTTTCGCCACCTGAAGTTGATCTTCTGCGGGCCATGACACAGGTGACCGATGGGCCCAATCCTTTGGCGATTGCGCCGTCAAGGTTTCGTGAAGTACAGGTGTCCATCAAGACTGAACTCGAGAGATCTCCAGCTCTGCTCCAGCGTCCGCTTGTCACACTCTGGAAGGCCTACGGCAGGTTGCGAATGGGACAAGCTGTGCACAATGATACCGACGTTTCCCGCATCAGTGATGCGATGCGCTCGCTACGGATCACCGAGCTTCACGACCCTGAGCTGCTAGCTAGCATTTTCGTCCTTTGCAGATGTCTTGTAGACTACGAACTGTTGTACAATGGACGCTCCGCCCACATCATCTATCGCAATGTATTGACAAGGTTGAAACAGAGTCCGCTCTACGACGCGTCGGGTTCGATGTTGACTCACGATGGCTTGTCTCTGGTCTGGATGGATGCTATTGAAAGCCTATTGCGCCGTCGTGTTCCTGCACTCCCGTGTACATTTCCTGACGGCAATGGCTACGTTGACGGCTTCACTGGCGTCGCAAAAACACTACTTCCACTCATCTACGAGATCTGTCGCCTTGGAGCGGCCTCAAATGTAGAGGCCGTTCTTTTTGACCAAATCAAACGAAATGTCACAGCATGGAGCCCCATTTACCCTACAGAAGAAGGGTTGAGCGAGGCTGAAATTATTTTACTCTGCACCCACGCCAACATGTACAAGTTGACATTGTTATTGATACTACAACAATATCAAGACACCGTACCGGCCAGGACAGCAGAGGCTGCTGATATCCTGCAGTATGCCAGGCTTTCCATTCAAAAGGTTGGATATATTACACCTTATTCAATGATGCCCCTTTTCATTGCGGGATTGGAGCTTGGTCTTGAAGATGACCAAGAGAAGCTACTCGAGTGTATGGCTTCTATACCTAGTTCTGCCAAACACAAACCATATATCCGGATGATCGATTTCATGAAGCATTTCTGGATACGCCGAAGAGAAGACTCGGCAGCAAGCTGGCTGTTATTACTTGATCAGATGCCGGCTTTCAACATTACACCATAGACCCGACCAAGAAAAATTTTGCGCCGGAGATAACTGTGTAGGATTTATCGCCAACGATTTGTCATGGTTTTAAAATTCCCAGGCTATTGAAACGAAAGGTAAAGATCAATCTCTATCGTGGAGTTGTCACTGTATGGTCAAACTGTATGAATCTTTTCCTATCTGCCCTGATTTTGTCAATTGTCTCACTCCTAGAGCGCCAATTATGGAATGCGACATCATGGCGACTACATGTCAAGCCTCCACCATGAGCCAACCAGGATATGACCGTATCTGATTCCTTTACTAGGCGCAAGCGCTAATCTACTTGGTAGGAGCTCCAATATAATCATCTTGGCTAAAGTCGGTGGTGTTGACACCGCCTTGGGCCGTCAGATGCACGGCTGGAGTAACAGACACACTCTCGCTCATATTGATGCCCAAGGAAATCCATGCAAACAAGCCGTCGGTCACATCTGAACCGAGGAAGGCGTACTCAAAAAAAGGATCGGCACCATTGGCAACGGCCTCGGGCAAGATAACGTCGTCGGCATTCTCAACTAACTCCTGGGTGTTGGTAGAGTATGGCTCTATGGTGTCGACCAGGTTGATCAAGTCCTGATCAAAGTAGGACTGGCCGACATGTCGCGCAGGTATATCGGTGTCGGGAGTGGCCGAGCCTATGAGGGTGTTGTTGCACTTGTTGACCTTGACGTCGGTGTGGATCAGGACGTGTAGATGCGTTGCGCGGCCGCTGTAATGACCGGCGAAGATGGTTTCAAACTGCGCCACGCCATCAGCATCCGTCTGCTGCAAACCGCGGAGGAAAGTCTTGTTGATGTTGCCCTGATCCTGCCAACCGACGCCATTGCCATCGGCAACGACACCCGAATAGACACCCGTGGCGTTGCAGTGCCAGAGCTCCAGGAACACCTGAGGCACAGGTTCGCACGTGTCAACATCGATGATCTGGTACTCGACTACCGTGTCGATGCCGTGTTGGTCTTCGCGGACGTCGCGCCGAATCTGTTCGCCCGAGATATAGTATGGCCCTTGGGTGAGATCTGGCGTTAGGAGGCAGGAGCTGTTGGAAGCGAACAGCACGGCGGGGTCGGTCGAGGTCGTGTAGCCAAGAGCTGTCTCGTTGTGGTTGGTTGCGAGGACGCTGTCGAGATCCTTCTTGTGAAGGTTTCGCTTGACGCGCGCCTTATTGACCGTATCCCATCGTCGGGCGACGTTGCGGGCCTCGACACCGCGGGCCTTGAGCTTGTCGGTACAGTGTGAGAGGTCGCGGACTTGCTGGGTAGCACGGAAATCACGCATCATCTTGAGTTCGTCATGAGCACCTCCGGGGTGCGCTACGGCCGCCCCTAGAAGGGTGAGACCGATTAGGATGGTACTTTGGGCGCGCATCGTGGTAAGTGATCAGGGTAGCTCTCCTAGACTTGGGCAGAGACTATGTTTAGCTCGGGTTTGCAGAGAATAGTTGTGGCGAATGCCTCTATAGCAATTTTTATCGAGAGCAAAGGGAGGCCTGGGAACTTATACTACCACCATGTCGGACTTTTCGTTATTGTGCGATCCGCGTCGTATGCCGTCGTTTCTGACAGAAGTGCCTAGCTTGCTTGCCTTCATTTCATGGCACACATGGAAAAGGGGCTTTCCAGCCAAGACAACCTGCTGGGAATAATCGAGGTCAAGGAATCCGTTGGTGCCGACCAACCATCGCTGGCTAGTTTTCATTATTCAATACAGCCATTGGATGACGCGTACGCGGAGAAGCCGGTAGTACTGTGAGACAAAAGCTCTCGAGTCCTGAACGAGAAGAGCATATGAACCCATGACAACCAAGGATGAGAATGTCTGCGCGGCTCCACGTTGAAGAATAGGTCCCCCGCAAGCCGATGCGAAATAAAGAGTGTTTCCGTTGAGGCTTTAAGAGCCGAAATGCCGGGGCCCGTCTTGTGGGGTTACGTATAATGGCCGAGTATAATATAAAATCTAGAGTGTATGACTGGCTCCTGTCGAGGGATCGGCGGGAACTAAAGAAGAACGCCTTGCCCGAATCGGTCTTTTTAATGGCCGTCTTATCTTATCGCACGCCCATAATACCAGTCTGCCCTACCAAGAGCACAGAGTCGACAAGATCTGATGGAGACGAGCATCAATATTTCCGAGACTCGTTCATTTAGAATTCAAATTTCTTTGAGAAGACTACTGTCATATTCGACCGTCGAGAGCGAGGATGAGGCGATCGCCGCGTAATGGACCCAGGCCGCGTTACGTAGACAGCCATGGAGTCTGCTCCGCGCGTTGTGTCCTTGTTCATCCCAATCGCAGTCGAATCAACCGAAATACTTCCCTCTTCTTGCTCATGAGGGTCCAAACACTCAATCCCCGGAAACTCCTGAGTGATGAAGATCAAAATATACATCCGCTACGATGCTTCCGGCGACTACATATAATCATGCACGTCGGCAGCCTGTCGCAGTAGCACGACCTGATCTTGCCATCACTATCACACAATTCCGGCTCGTTACCTCTCAGCCTCTCATTTCGCTCACTTTACTTTCCTTTTCTCACACGATAACATGAGACTGTCGGCTATCTTCCTCGCTAGCATACTCGGCACGGCTCTTGCGCACGAGGAGAACCTGTCTCCGGTCGAAATCCAGCGCCGCTCTACCCTTTCCCGCCGCTGCGAGGCAAGTGCTGCAAACTTCAACAAGAAGCGATATGAGCGCCGTGTATCCAAGCGGTGGGCGGGGTCTGGCAATACCACGTATCAGGTTCATGCCGAGGCTCCCTATTACGAGACCATCCAGAACGACACGTGCGTTTTGTCGCCTATTGTAACCGAAGGGCCTTATGTTTGGCCCCGGTCCGAGACCTTGCGCCAGGACATGACCGAGGACCAAGAAGGTGTGCCTGTCTGGCTCGACATTGGCGTGCTGGATATGGCCACTTGCGAGCCTCTCGAGGATGTCCTGCTGAGCTTCTGGCACTGCAATGCCACGGGGAGCTACTCGAGCTTCACCGGCCTGGACCCGAACACCGACTTTGTCGAGCTCCTATCGGAACTAGGCCGCAACGTCAGCGATTTTGAAATCGGCGTCACCGACCTGCATACCGACGATACGACGTGGCTGCGCGGCATGTGGCCCACTGATGCGCAGGGCATGATGGAGATGAAGACCATCTTCCCCGGCTTCTACACGGGCCGCGCCATTCACATTCACGTGCAGGCTTATTCCGACTGGACGCTGCATGACAATGGCACCGTCTCGACGGGCAATATTGTCTCCACAGGCCAGCTCTTCTTCAACGAGACGGTCTCGTCGCATATCATGGCCCTCGAGCCCTATGCTTCCCACACCCAGATCAACCGCACGACCAACAGCGTTGACTCCATCTTTAGCTACGACGGTGGATATAACCCGGTTGTCAGCGTTGTCCCCGCCGACGGCACCGATATTAGCAACGGAATGATTGGTTACATTACCATTGGGGTTGACACGACCGCGGATGGCGTCGATAACAGCCAATAATCAGAAAGATGTTCTCAGATTCCTGATCTTATTCCTATTAGGCTTTCAAGCTCCATAGATTGTGATGAATAAACTGATCGCCGTCGACGAAACCATTTAACTCGAATAAGTAACAAGTTAATAAAGAATAAACAACGAGAGAAAATGCTACGAATTGTACTTGAATGATTGTGTTACCAAAATTCTATGGAAGCTTTCACGATCTAGCTTTGCTACCTATCCTATTTAGACTTGGGATGTTGCCACATTGTAAAATTACTTTACTATGGATACTACCATCGGCAATACCTCCCATGTGTCTCGACTTTCAGATCGGAGCAGTTCATGGAATAAAGAAATGAATCAGAGCACCTGATGTTGCCTTGTGAATTCCATGAAAAGAATAGCTGATTATATCATCTCAGCCCCTCGTACACATTTGTATGGGCGATACTGCCTAGCTTTTGCTACATGACTATGCCGGGCATATGGATCAAGAAGACTTCCAACTTATTGAGAAATCGGTCTCCTATACAGTTACTCCCGTCCCCCGATGGTGTCTTCATGAATGATGATATCCTGGGAGCTATAGTGACGAGCTCCGAGAATCTTAACCCGGGTCTCTACCTAAAGTAAGTCAGCTCTTGATCGGTAAATCTAAGCGAAAGGTACACTAGCATATAGGAGGCGATCCGGTATTGCGACAATACTGGAATAGCAAAGTACAAAGATCATGTCTCTACTCAGTACTATTTATATTGATCATTGTGCGTGCCACAAGACGTAGCTCGTAATATGAAGGCTTGAAACAGTAGAACACATATCTCAAAGATGCTGTCCTTAGTAAGGTACGACGGGTAAACATCTCGATACCCAGGTGTCAATAGAAAGCTCAGCATGCATGTTGGAAAATCGGAATTGAGCATTCACGGCTGTCTCTCATACTCAATCAAAGTCACTTGAATTCTTCCACCTGAAGCCTCGCATTCTGTCCCATGACGACAAGTTATCCATCCTGTCCAGCGAAGAGAAAACTCCATGAGTGCGAACTTGACCACCATTCGCATCGCTAACCACAAACCCCTTGATCCTAGCTCCTCGATTTACCCTCGGAGCTCCATGATCGAGGCACGCGATCACCACGAGGTACGACGAGAGGAAGGTGGGCAATATGGGCTGCCTCCCTATTCCTCTCCGTGTGTCTCTCTCTTCATCTTGGCCTGAACTTGACGTCTCCTCCCGTACGGAGTCGCGAGCTTTTGCACTGCCTCGACGAAGGTCAAGGCAAATTCCGCGCACCGCGCCTCAAAGCAGTACAGAAGGAAAAAGGGCCAAAACCGACATGGATACCTGAATAGACAAGATACCTCACATAAAGCAATTCTTTACCATTGCGGCGGTAGCCTGCAAAAAGTGGAAACACATGAACCGTGCCGAAAAGCTTTCTCGGAACCATTTCTGGTTGGTCGAGTATCATGTTGATCTTTTTGTTTTTCCCCGATTAACAACCTTTTTTTTTTCCCCTCTCATTCAGGGACGGACCTTGATCGGGTCGTTGCTCCTTTGCTGATCAGCGAGAAAGCCCCGCCAGAGTCCGCCCGCGAAGATCTTCTTCTAGCGGCGTCGTTTGTTTGGAGTATTATTTCCATCTCTCTCTCTTCCCATATTGTACCACCGCGTCTTGAGTGTGTAAACTGGCTCTTGATTGGTGTTTGAAAGTGTTCATGATCTTCAAATGTCTGAGATGGTCTCCATACATGACATCAGACGAAAACAAATAAAAAGCCAGCTTACTCGGCCATTTATGATTATGGGATGAAAAGAGAAAAAGGAATTTTCTTCCCATATGGGTTCAGCTTCTGAAAGAATATACCCGAGAAGCTTATTATACAACATCTCGCAGAATATATGCAGATATATCTGTGTTCCCAATTCGCCCGTCAGCACGCATCCTCAAGCCCCCCTCAAAAAGCAAATATAACACGCGCAATCTGTCTCAGGTGACGATGTACGTGCTACGCGCGAAGTCTCAGTTCCCAGATCAGCATTTAATCTATCACAGAGTACATTAGTCCGGGGGAGAAAAGAAATACATGTAATTGGGACCCCCGCGATAATGCACCTGAGAGCCCAACTGGGAGGGAGTGCTGGTCATCCAAATGAGACATTGATGGGTTCACGACAGCTGGGTTGTTTCTCATGTAGACACAATATAGGGAAAGAATATTCAAGAGGAGATAAAGCATCAAAGAGTTCCGCTTTCCAAAGAAGGCTTTTGGTCTCCTTGTCACGATCAGCATGCCAGACTCGGGTGATCTACCTACCGCACGGGAGCCTCTATCTTTTTTTCTTTTCTTTTTGCTTTTCCGCTCCTTTCTTTTTTTTTTTTTTTTTTTTTTTTTTTTTTCCCGTCCCCAGAGATTTTACCCGTGTCCTCTCAAGACCGCCCTCGTGGGCAAGGCGTGGGGAAGCCCCCATCCCATCGTCTCGGGATCATGCTGACATCAAGAGTCCTTGTCCCGAGCAGCATCTGGCAGCATCTCCGGGGCGGCCACTTGTTTACTAGAGATCTAAAAAAAGTAGACAAGAGGATAGTCAGAGGGAATTCCATCGCCACTATGCCTCTACTCCAAGGGCTCACTCTGGAAACGTGTATTAGCTATATGTACTATACAGGAACAACTACATGGACAGTGTGCGATTCCCAACTAGAGATGACAAATCCAGACGTGTGATCTGGGTGGTAAAAGCAAAAGAACAAGGAAGAGAAAACGCTCTTGCGTTGCTAATCTTAGAACAAATGTCTCAGACATGTTGCTGCTTTCTACCAAGACACCGAGGCCACGGTTCGAGGATTGCGGGATCATGTCTCCGGGGCAAACCTTTTCTTTCTCTCAACATTCTGTGGCATACAGCTGAACAGGATCATGCTTTCCAAATTGCCGCGCAAAGAGTCATCCTTTGACGTGGTAAAGATCTCTCCTCACCGCCGTTCAGCCCACCATTACCGCGGGTTGATTCCCTTTCGCAATTGCGGAAAGTGGGAAAAGGTTCAAAGGCAACCATGAACTGCCGAAAAGTCGGGCCTGTCTCTGACTCCCTTGTTTGTCTCTAACAAAAAGCGTGGCGATGCCATCAAAAGCTGACTTTTTTGGGCTGACTTGGGGGGGGGTGAAGAGCTGACCGGCACGGCTTAGGGGCAGGGCAGGGCAGGGCAGGGGATGGGCGGTTGCATGATTGGCATACCTCATCACATTTCCATCATGATTGCATGCAGAAACCATCAAGGTCGGACTTTTGGGCAAAGATCAGGGGCTAAGCCTATAACGATGATGATGCTAATTGCAGTAGAACGACTCAAAAAACACACACATCCATTTACAATGTTACCAGCAGAGACATATGCCGGACAAGGGTACAATCATCTCTTTGGCATGTTACGTGGGAAGCAAAAAAAGCAGGTGGGTCGGGCCGACATAGTAAGAGATCATCGGTTACAATAAGGCTGAGCAAAGTTGGGTAGATGCCAATTGAGATATCAGACCCCCAATGTTGCATGAGTTATCAGAGGGGAGAAAAAGGTAAGGGTGTTTGGAAAGAAAAAAGCCCACTTTGTATTGACACATGCTAGTCAGAATCTCATAATACTTGCATGATAGAAATGAGTAGGTAGGTACTTTGTTGGTAATGAGGCATGGATGGATGATGACTGGAAAAGACTGGAAAAGAGTACCGCGAACCCGGGAATCCGGTGAAAATGGAGTATGTTTGTTCTAATAGTATTCATGGGCGAGTTTATTGATTGCAAATTGCGCGCGGCCTGCCCGGATTGAGGGTCGGATATGATTTTTTTTGTCTGTACGAATCTACTCTGTATTATTTTGCCCTCATCCGACAAGGTGACTTGTAATTCTAATTTTGCTGGTCATTGTCGCTGCCGTTGCCGTTGTCGCTGTCGCTGTCGCTGTCGCTGTCGTTATGCTTGGGTACTTCTGCCAGCTATGTCGCGCCAGTAAACTTTCCTTTCAGTTGTGTCTAAGAATGATTTTTTTCTGAGGCGAAGCAATCAAGGTAGGTCAGATAGAATTTGGGCCAATCCCAGCAAGGCTGTTTAGCCCTGGGACCTCCGAGTTCCCCCCAGAGACAGGGGGCCAAGGAGCCAAGCGGTAGCTAGCGTAGGTGGCTCTTTCAATGGCATTAATGCTAGACACTTTTTTGGGAGTAGTGCGGAAGGGGCACCGTTTTGCTCAACAACAGCAGCTAGGATCAACGTTCCAGCGGCTGGGCGGCAATCTGCCCACGAACTTCAGAGGGTTGTTTATTAGCGATGGATGACAGGAGCGACTAGGAGGTACTAGCGCAGTTCAGATAGCCTATTCAACACAGAACTTGCTCAATGACCTCCAAGGTAATGAATGAATGTACCGTGTACTATTACCGACGACCAAACTGCCCGCCTTCTGATGCAATCCATGTATGTACCGGCATCTCGGGCGGAATGACAAAGAAAGCAAAAGCTTGTACCCTTACCTAGCGTCGTGGGTCGTCGTTGTCCAGCATTGATTGCAAAGACGGGGCTGCTGCTACTGTGTACTATGTACTAACTACTGTCTACGCCTATCCTTCTGTCAACAAGGGAGTCGGGAACACTTTGACCTAGGTACGATATACGGAATACCAAATTATTACCTGGCTGGCTTGTCATCGGCGAGTAAGGTGGCAGAGAGACAGACAAGATGCCTTGGGGAGAAAGGGGGAGATATCACTGAAACGAACGGCAATTGGTTGATTTCCGGAGGGAATCTGCAAAGAGATGGATGGCAATATTTCTGATATGGGATTTCCACATTGTACACGGAGTTCCTTTGCGAGCTGCCAACCTTGCCTTGTCATGACTACTAGCCAGCAGTCGTCCGACAGGGGCTCGATCGAGCATTGAGACGACGACGACGCGATGGCCCCGAAGAGGAGGTGGTACCGTACATGTGCAAGTACGTACCTACTGTGTAGATAGGTATGTA